CAAGTGTTCGCAGTAACCATCCGTGTCAACCAACCGACTGAACTACTTGGGATAAGAACAGTCGATATCTTATGAGTTAATAGCCAACAAACATTGGCAAATAAAGGGGAACAACCGGTACCCACCGCTTGAAACCTCTACTACTCAGTCACTCGGCGACTAGGTAACAATCATGTTTACTTGGTCACTCCTTAAAAATTTAGTATGAGACTAAAAAGGTGTTCATACAGCGCCTGTTCACACTAGATTAAATGTGGCGGGGAATAGTCGGCCTGGACCAACTAGAGTCTCTAGCCTTAAAAAAAAAAACAAAAACACAAAAAAACAAAAAACAAGGCAGGTAGGAAACCACCTTCCTACTTGGTTGAAGGGGATCCAGTCTTTAAAGTGGCCGACTGATCGCTTAGCCTGGAAACAGACAACCAGTCGTCCAGGGGCATAGGTGGCGTGACTAACTACCTCGTACCTGTCCGCAACTATCGGCCATGAAAAACAGTCGGTATAAGTATGCAATTGGATATCAGAGTTTCGATACTTAACAAATTCGAAACGAAACAAATTCGAAGGACTGCCATAAACATTCATACCCCCGGCCCCTTGGCCGGGTAAAAGATACAAAAAGAAGCCGGTCACTAAGACCGGCAAAATATTCAGAACCCCGGCCCCCTGGCCGGGTAAACAGAAACAAACGGCACGCAGGCCGTAAAAAGAAGACATAAAGCTTAAGAAGGGGGCAGATCTTCAATAATAGCAGCTGCCGCCTGGTCAGCACTCTTTTTGCTGGACTCGGCTTCAGCTGCATCCTTCTTCGATGCATCCACCCCAAGAGGCACAAGCGCCACTACCGGCTCATCCTCCTCCAACGCCTCGTCCTCAGCAGCCGCCAGGATCTCTTGATTATATCTATCAGAACACTGGCGGTGCGTTTTTTCCCAGGAGGAAAAGTCGGCATTGGGGAAGAGGCGGCCCCAGGTCAGGCGCCGGATCTGAGCAGAGTCTTCCATCATCTCTCGGACCAGCTCCTTCTTTTCTTGCTTGGCCTTTGCCGAGAGCTCCTGAGTAAGACTCTTCTCCTGGGTCACCAGGCGTTCCTTAACGTGTGCCAAGGATTTCTCCAAGGTGTCGTATGAGGACATTTTTTGGCGAAGAGGTCTCACCTCGGCCTTGAGATTGTTGATGGTCGCCTCCAGCTCATTATTTTTCTTCTGGGCCGCCTCTAACTGAGCCCGGATAGCAGAAGTAGCCTGCGCCTGATAATAAAGAATATCAATTGTCAAAACCTCATTTTGGGCAATTTGAAACATTGTCTTATCACAGTCAGAGGCGGCCATAACTTTTGCAGCTTTTACCTCTTTGTTCTTCCTGTCAAGCGGCTTGCGAAGGCCGTTCATTCGGAGCAGGGCCTAAGTAAAAGGGAACAGGCATCAGTTTTCAAACAAAAAACAGGCGTCCTGGAATTTAAATAACTAAAAATATGCTAAGTATACCTCAGCAAGGACCCCTGCAATCCCGTCTAGGTCAAGGGTGCCGACACCCCTGACCGCCTCCCTCTCAGCCGGAGGGACGGCTTTGATCATAGACTTGGCCACCTCAACCAAGTCTGGCTCCTGAGGGCTGGCTGCATCAAGCATAAACAAACGGGTTAGACCTAGTAAAGAAGGGAGCAAGTCTAAATTTACAAGGACAACTTCATACTTCTAGGCGGCCCGATTGGAGTTTTAGCAGGAGTGGACGGCTGTTTCTCAGCCGCCGCATGTTTCCTGGCAGTACCAGGAGAGCTCGCAACAGTCGTCCTCCGGGTCTTGGAGTCCGGCTGTTGGGAAGAAGAGGCTCTTGGAGTGCCCGTTTAAAAAAAAAAAAAAAAAAAAAAAAAAAAAAAAAAAAAAAAAAAAAAAAAACACTCGATCAGTATATGCATAAACCCAACTCCAAAAAGAGAGTGAAAGGTTCGGAGCTCACCAAGGGTGCCCCCTTGTTGGGGGAGTCGGTTGAGGATTGTTGCATGATAGAGGCTCGCAACATGGTCGCCGCAGTCTTGGAGGCGGTAATTTTGCTCATGGCGTCCGCTGCAAGAACAAATAGCAAAGTTAATAAAAAGTCATAACAGTAATGCATGGAAAAACAGAGTATTCGACAGGCCAGCTACCTCTTGAGCACCGACTGGTGAGGCCACAGGCGGCCAAAAAGTCATAAAGCCATTTGAAGCTCGGGACGCAGTGCAGGGGTACTTGCTCTCGTACCCCTGTAGTAGAGTCGACCCTCGACTCTACTTTAAAGAGTCCTTTATCCAGGATCTCTTTCTTGGCTTTGGGGGGAACAGGCGGCATGCTGCGGCCGCCTGCAAGAAGAGGCGGATTCCTGTTCCACCTGTTGAAGCGCTTGTTCAGCTCTGTGTCTGAACTTTCAATGATAAGGAAGGTGCTTCGCCAATCCTTCCACTTGTTTGCTTTACCTCTTGTCATGAGGTGGCCTATGTGGCTCGTCAATTGATACCAGCCGATACCCCCTGCCTTAGGGGTCCGGCTGAGGTAGTTCATGTGGGCGAAAGCCTCGAAGTTTGGCTCCACCCCGTGCAGTACGCACCCGGCCACATAGCCGAGTACGTTGACCCAGGAGTTTGGGGCTAACTGCCATAACCCCAACTCATACCCATCCAAGATCCGCTGAACAGCCGGATGTAGTGGGAAGCGCAGCCCAGCCCTGATGGCCGCCTCGTAGCAGCCAAAGCAGGCGCCATCATAACTAGTACCAGCCGGCCAGAAGACTGCGTCTTCTGGATCCGGCACGAAAACTAAAAAGCCGGGGCCCATTGTGTGGTTCGCAATAAAGCTCCCCACTCTCTCTTGTATGGCCGTGATCCGGCCCCGTGGGATAGTGTAGTAGTAGGGGGTATTTTGCTCTCGGTAAGAGGTGGATGGCTCTGCCCAATTGTCCCCCTTCTCAACTGCGTGAGAAAGCCTCGCCTCTTGTAAGCGGCTGTTTTTCTCTTCTGTGTCCAGAGAAGCATGACCAGAAGAGCTAGACTCGGATTCGTCCTCTGACGAGTCCGAAGAGGACGACTCCTCCCCTCTCCCAGAGGGGCCCGCCTTCTCTCCTTCAAAAGGAGCAGGAGAGAATGTAGACTTGTCAACTGTAAAATGGGAAGGGGTCACTTTGACCCCTCCCTCAGAACTGTCGGCTTTCAAGCCGCTTTGGTTCACTTCCACATCTGGCGCCTGGTCAGATGTTTCACTAATCGGCACCCTGTGGGTGGAGCCGTCTGAGTTCGAGATCCTAACAGTCCTTTTTGTTCTGGCTATCATGTTCTGCATAGCCACAGAGACAGTCGGACTTTGTATAAAGGGCAAAGATGGGTCCGGAAAAGGGCAGGCGGCACTCCTAGTCCTAGATTCAGCCGTCCCCGGTGACCGGCTGATCTCTAACCTAGGTCGTGTCGTGTGCTTCCGTGGTGCCATTCCAAAAAGAATAAAATTAAGAGAAAATTAAGAGTAAGAGAACCGACTGTTACCTGAACGAGTGAAGTTGACGGAGTTCTGGAAATCCTGTGTTAGTCGGCTTGTCAGAGCAAGCGGTAGGCAGAAAGAGTCCGAAATGTCAGAGCAAGTTCAGGGGTCCGAATGTTCTCTCTAAAAAGTTCTCAAGTGTGAAAATGACTGAAGTCAACACACCCTTATATAGGCAAAGTGAGAAGGCGAAGGGTCACTTCCAAAATTCAAAATTTGGGCGGGAGAATCTCTCGGCCTTTCGCCGAGTGACACCTGTAGCAGGCCGTCGCCTGTCACGGTGCGACACCTGTCACAGGTAACACGTGACCAGTCACGTGCCACCTGTGAGGGGCAAATGATTAGGGGATTTTTATCCACCAATCAGCATCCGACACGTGTCCTTCATGTAGGCCAATAGGAGTCTGACACGTGTCATCAAGAGATTCGTCCTCCTTGGACCAATTGCAATGTGACACGTGTCCACCCATGCCAAATTGGAAAACCGGCCAACAAGGCCCAATCTTTGTGGGAGGCCCAGTCAGCCTTAGGTTTAACCTAAACCTAGTACTGGCACGCATCCCAAGGCATATAAATATGCCCATTAATCCTCATTAAGGGGGATTACACACATTTAACACTCTCACCTAGAGAGACCCTATCACTTTTATTTCCGCATTAATTACTCCTTAATCAAGTACTAACTTGACCGTCGGAGGCGGATCTCCAATCGTTCGGAACATCCGTTTGTTTTGCAGGTACAGGCGTCCGGTTCCAGTCTCGGAATTGTAACTCTCCCGCAGGACATCAGAAAACCTCGAAACACTTCCCATAAACATAGTTGCACTTACTCCCTCCGTTTTTTTTATATGCATCACTTGGGAATGCACATAGTTTTAGGAGATAAATATAATATTGTGTGTGGATGAATAAATTATTATAATAAAAGTATGATGGGGACCATGAAAGAGAAAGTATGTGAGAGAAAATAAATATTTTATTATTTAAGTGGGGACATAGAAGATAGAGAAATGATAAAATAATTTGAGTGAGTTTTAAAGTAAGAGAGAGAAATAATAAAATATAGTATAACTTTACTAAATATAGAAGTGATGCATATAAAAAACACCCGTAAAAGAAAAGTGATGCATATAAAAAAAAACGGAGGGAGTATTTTATTTTATATTTGAAAGTAAAAAAAGTTGCACTTTAAAGGGAATATAGAAAAAAAAAAAAAAAAAAGAAATGAAAAAGAAATTGCACCATTAAGTATAAATTGTCCTTTTATGTGATGTCTTGTTCAACTGTTTTATATCTTGAGTCCAAAATTTAGAGGTTGACGGAAAAAGAGAACTAACTCTGAACCTACAAAAAAAAAAAAAAAAAAAAAAAAAAAATCTATTTATTTTCTCATCCTTAAATAAAAAATCCTTCGATTTTTTCTGGGATGTATTTATAAACTTAATTTACATTATCTTTTTTTATTTATTTATTTTTTTGATAATTCAATTTGGAAAACTCAGAAACACACATTTGTTTATGTGGATGAGATAAACTAAGTTGCAAAGTTTAGGATTCGGCTTCAAATTCCCACCCTTCAATTTTCATAATCTAATCCTTTATCCTTTTTAATTTTTGTCTTTATTATTCAATTTTGTACTACACTTATTTTTATATCACAATTTTTGTGCAACTTTTGTTCCTCTCTTTATATCTCTCAATAATTATTTGTCACCTCTGGGTTCCTTCACTCTCCCCAGAGTACCAACTTCAAGAGTTCAGTACTAAGGTTTGCCTTTAATTCTATTTTAGCGCTTTATTTGATTCGTTCGGAATTAATTGTGTTTGAATTTGTTACTTGACAACTAAATTCGGGCATATGTATTAAGGTTTATTAGCGTTTTTCTTATTGGGTCGTTAGGATATAGTGTTTCATAGAGGATATTAATTTGCGCTTGATCTTTGTATTTTTTATTTTGTTTTAGAGTTGATTTCATGAATTTATTTTTGCATGTTTATTATTTTAAATTAATGGGTTTTAAATTAAATCCTGGTATTAAGCCTTATTTGATGGTTTTGATTCTTTCAAATTCATTGTATAAATGATTGCAAATTGAACAGATTTTAATTTTCCAAAGTTTTTTAATTTTTTCTTTTAAAAACTTTTTACTCAATGATTGAATACTGATTACGGATTAATATTTTTGTTACAGTAGTTTATGTTTGGCGATTCGTTTTCATGTATTGTTTGATATTGCCTTTGAAGGATGAAGGATGAATGATCTATGTGAATTGAGACTATGTTACTTAGACTCGTTTTGTGTCCATGTGTTAAACTTGACTTTTTATTGAAATTGGTTTAATATAGTGTCAAAAGTCAGAGTGTTATCATCCGTTATGGATGTTGAAGCCAAATGAAAAGTTCGAGTAACATAATTAATAAATAAGAATATGGACTTGATAGATTGATTTTGTGCAGTTATTTGTTGGGGACTCTTTAGCTTATTAAGCCGAAAATGGAGATCACAAATGTCAATGAGTATGAGGCCATTGCGAAGCAGAAATTACCCAAGATGGTGTATGACTACTACGCATCTGGTGCAGAGGACCAGTGGACTTTGGCTGAGAACAGAAATGCTTTCTCCAGGATCCTGTAAGCCTTACATGTTTTCCTCACTTTTCGAGTTTTATGTGTGCTATTAATTCTTTGCTTAGTAGTAATAATCTGCACACTAATACAGGTTTCGTCCACGAATTCTTATTGATGTAACCAACATAGACATGACTACAACTGTCTTGGGATTCAAGATCTCAATGCCTATTATGATAGCCCCAACAGCCATGCAAAAGATGGCGCACCCTGAAGGTATACCGTATTCATAAGGCTTACTGTTAAAATTAATGTTTCGAGATGTGCTGTGTATTAAAATCAGCTAAAATATTACCTTAGCTTTGGCTCTGTGATAAAGTGGTTACAGTTGACTTGTTGTATTAACCAACATAGGTTGTTTCAAAGTTAACTCATTCTCAATTAGATTATTGATATGTTCTTGCAGTCCTCTGTAGATTTTCGCCTTTGTAATATGTATAATACAAATTCTTCTAGTGTTAGACATCGTCTTCATTTCTTGATGGATTGTTTAGTATGAGTTCATATATCAAGGAATAGTTTCCAACTTGTCCGTTTTTATATTTGATATCCAAGCAATACATCTCAACTAAAAAGTAAGAGTGTGTGTCTATTAGAAGATTTGAAGGGAAGGGAAGAATTGGGGAGGCAGAGTGATGATTTATCCCATTTTATCACTTCTTGACTTCCTGTAATCCCATCTCTATACATAGATGAGTGAGCACAAATGCCTTACATACTATGTTTTTCTAAAATCCTCGTCCAAATATGTGTCCTTACTTTCTGGGAAGTTGAATTCTTTCTTGTTATGCGCCAACCTGTAGACGGCCTTTAGAATTTGTTATTGTGCTATTGGCATACACATGTTTTTTCATACTTGTCATTCCTCGCACAATTTGTTTCAGGTGGATCTTGTACTTGGATAACACTTTAAAATTGAATGCCATATAGGCCTCCATCTTCTTGTTTGGCTATGTCTTTCTGAATAGTATAGGATACATGGTTAATGTATACTCGTCCACCTTGGGTTCGATCAGAAGGATATATACAGCACCAAAGTTGTTTCCGAGTGTTTGCTTTCAATGCTTTTGTGGGTGTAGTGAACTAGTGATTCAATCATGATAAATTTATGTAATGCCATTTCCCCTGCAGTTGACCAAATTCTATTGTAAGAAAGCTGTCAAATTAGTAATGGTTTTTGTGGGTGTAGTGACTCAATCACGGTCATGTCAGTATTGTAATACCACTACTGCAGTTGGCCAATTTTTACTGTTGAATAGTAGAAACTGTCAGGGTGGTCTCACCAAGTGAATATCCATTGTACGTTACTCTAAATGAGCTTTTTATAGAGTTTTTGATATTTGCTTCCATTGAATGTGATTTAGTGTCACAATATGAACTAAGCAGTCATATAAAATTGATTGCATACTAACGTTATCACTTCTGATTGGATCATGAAGGGGAGTATGCAACTGCCAGGGCAGCGTCATCAGCTGGAACTATCATGGTATGACTTAATCCCATCTCTGAACTTATCATGATAGAATTCTGCTCTACTCCACTATCACTCCTCATCATAGTTTTTTGAACTGGATTTGAACCAAATTTCTAAATTGGCAGATTATAAATTACTTATAAGGTCCCTTTTTAAAAAAAAAAAAAAAAAAAGATTCCTTTTATTATTTCATTAATATTGCTCTTTTTTCAATATAAGTGTTGCCTTTTCTCTTTTGATTCTATTACGAAAATGATAACAGTGCTAATGAAGTAAATACTAACAGATTGACTTGCTCCAATATCTAAAGGCCTAACAAGAGTTGACAGTATTTAAACAATGTAAAACTGCTTTATATATTTCATAATTCGATATTAGTTGAAAAGCCATTTCTAACCCTTGTGAAAATTGTCAAAGGCCTATATAAAAATAAATAAATAAATAAAAGAAGTAAATTTTTCTAAGCCTTCATTTAAAAAAGTATACAGTAATAATTAATGAGGGCAAAAAACCTTGAAAATCCTAATGCAGTGATCTGCAGACATTTTACTTTCGTATTTCATAATTTACTGTAAAGGCAGTCTGGTAGGAACTGGTTTAATGGACCCAAAGCAGTAGCCTAAGACTCAAGATGACCAATTTCCCAGTCAGGCTTCATATTTCTGTAACTATGTTCCTTGTGTAAATATATGTTCCATACTTTTCGTTTCAGACACTGTCCTCATGGGCTACATCAAGTGTGGAAGAGGTTGCCTCAACTGGACCAGGCATCCGATTTTTCCAGCTCTATGTAAGCTTACAACATCTGCCTCTAATCTTGTACTCCTATTAGCTGTCAATAGAACAGTGCTTTTGGGATCAACTTGGTTCAATGTTTCAATATTCAGGTATACAAGGACAGGAATGTAGTTGCTCAACTTGTGCGAAGAGCTGAAAGGGCTGGCTTCAAGGCTATTGCTCTTACTGTTGACACACCCCGATTGGGGCGTAGAGAAGCTGATATCAAGAACAGGTATTACACAAGGAATCAGATTTTTCTAGTTCCTTAGGAAATGATTTAGGGTCTTCTATGATATTAACTTGATTTTTATCCAGGTTTGTTTTACCACCTTTTCTAACATTGAAGAACTTTGAGGGTCTTGATCTCGGCAAAATGGATCAAGTAAGTGTCAGACATAAAATGTTGGGAACAAAGCACTTTGAATTACCTATGTGATTTGCCTCTAATATTTTATTTTATTTTTTATTTTATTTTTATTTTTTATTTATTTATTTATTTATTATTTATTATTTTTTATTTTGGTTGTGCAGGCAAATGACTCTGGTCTTGCCTCATATGTTGCCGGTCAGATTGATCGATCCCTGAGCTGGAAGGTAATGCTGGATTGGTAAACTTTGTATGAGATATTTTTAGTGTATATATTCTGTGGTTCGATATTATAGTACAGGAACTGAAAATTATTCTAAGGATGGCTAGAAGACAGATTAAACTCAAGATAACTTTGAATTAGTTCTCTAATTAATGTGTGTAAATTAAACAGGATGTGAAGTGGCTTCAGACAATCACCAGCCTGCCCATCCTTGTCAAGGGTGTACTTACAGCTGAAGATGGTAAGATGTCGACCATTTTTTCATGATCTTTATGCTTTTCTTTCCTCGTTTCATCTTTTCAATACCCGTAATTTCTAGTCTTCTTAACTGTAACTGATCTTATATTCCATTTCTTTAATTTTTAGCAAGACTTGCTGTTCAACATGGGGCAGCAGGAATTATCGTATCCAACCATGGAGCACGCCAGCTTGATTATGTTCCTGCTACTATAATGGCTCTTGAAGAGGTAAATTATATTCTCTAAAATCTAGATGCTGTAATACTGGTTTTGGAGTAGGGATTGTAAGTCAATTGATTATTATATTTTCTTACATGGTGACAACTACCTGAACTCTGCAGGTTGTTAAAGCAGCACAAGGTCGTATTCCCGTGTTCTTGGATGGTGGTGTTCGTCGTGGAACTGACGTTTTCAAAGCATTGGCACTGGGTGCCTCTGGTGTATTTGTAAGTACAGCTAGATGCACTAGCAATCAACTGCTGATATTTTGAATGTTTACCTGTACTTATTGCATCTTGCTCTATTATTTTCCCCATTCATAAAGTACTTCAAGAAAAAATTAAGATTAGCTTCAGCAAGTTTTATCATGCTACCAAAGTTCAATTCTCAACTAAATGAACTAATGTAAGCTGGCCTAACAAGTTCATGTAAGTTTAGACTTTGGACGAGTTATAAATGAGTTGAGCTGTCAATTCAATTGGGGGCATCTTTCTGCTACATTGTTTTCGTTTCCTTCTTCTGCCTGCCTACTTTCATATGTTCAATATTTTTACAATGTAGTACTAATTCATTGATGGCTTTCAATTCAGATTGGAAGGCCTGTGGTGTTCTCCCTCGCTGCAGAAGGAGAGACTGGTGTTAAGAAGGTCCTTCAAATGATGCGCGAAGAGTTTGAGCTGACCATGGCACTGAGTGGTTGTCGTTCCCTTAAAGAAATCTCGCGCAGCCACATTGTTGCTGACTGGGACGCTTCTGGGTCTCGTGCTACTGCCAGATTATAAGATTAACGTGCACAAATAATTAAAGCTATATTGAGCAAGGGAAATGTAACAGCATATCTATAAAGTTTGCTTGTTGGTGTTTTTTTTTTTTTTTTTCCCAACTAAAAAGTGCCCTCTATTTGGTCGAAGAACTTTCATTTTTGATTTGCGACTGTCAATGGATGCTTATGTATTTTTGAATGGCTACTCTGCCTTCATTGTATATTCTTCTTATATTCCTCTTTTTAAAATAAGAGTACTTACATATATCAATATATGCCTTTTTAGTAATGGCTGATCCCCGGATTAAACGAGCAGGAAATGTAAAAAATATTCCGGTAAGAGCTACTGAAGCATTGGTTCTAGAGTATCTATATACATCATATAAACTTCTACTTCCTTTTGTTCCTGATAAATTTTTGTTGGAGACAGCGGAAGTAGAATGAGTATTAGAATCGAGAATAAGATATTTATTGTAAATAACATCAGTAATCAAGATACTATAAGATCTTGTTAGACCAACCTAGGAGGTTACAGTAATGGTAAAATTCAACCTACAACTAGGGGTGAAAGTAATTCAGATTAAAGCCGAACCAAACTGATTTTTTTAATTCGGATTGGATCAGATTGGAAATATTAAAAAAATGGATTACGGATTGGATTTGGTTTGGGGTTTAAAAAAACCGAAAATCGAATTACAAACCGAATTTTAGCCCAATACTTTAAGCCCATTTTCTTTTTCAAAGTATCCAACCACTTTCCCCTCTCATATATAAACTTAAAAAAAGAACCTAATTCTCAATTCTTCTTTCTAAATATCTTACTCTCTCACAAAGAATGTAGTTAACAAGAAATGATTGTAGGAATTTTCAGGGTAAAGTTCGAGTTTTGGATTTGAATGTTGCAAAAGAAGGGAACAAAATTCGGTTTGGATTGGATTCTAATTTGAAAACCCGAATTAATTCGGTTTGGATTGGATTGGATTGGATTGAATCTTAATTCAGTTTGGATTCGGATTGAGATTTCCGAAACCGAATTAATTCGGATTGGATTCGGTTGTGACTATAATCCAAACCGCAAACCGAACTTTCACCCCTACCTACAACCCGTCAAAAAAAAAAAAAAAAGAATCAAAATCAAACCTACAAACCCTACAAAATTTATCACAACCTAGATTCATAAGGCTATGTGCATACCATTTCATTTAGCACCAAAATGTAGACATCCTGATGAATCCATTGATATACCACTACTAGCTTCTTAACAAGATTCAAAAACCGAGCTCAGAATTTTCAAGCACCACCTAAACATTGTCTTACAACAATCCAACACTCAATACATAGTCTTTAGGACTTGTTCTTTTCAACTTATTTTGGATACTTGTTACTAATTCTTGTCTCTAATCACACTTAAAACATTCAGATCATACTAGATTAAAACTTTAATGATTATCCAGAACACAGCAAAAGAAATAGATTGATATCTTAGTATTATAAGGGTATTCTAGCTAAAAAAGTAAAAACCATAGTAAAAAAACAGCAATTACATGGAAGTAGAACTAGTATTGCTACAAGTTATAATCTAAGGTTGGGCAATCATATCGCGTCCGTGTTCGAAATTTAAAAGATTGGAAATTCTTAACACTAACCCGACCCATTTAATAAACGTGTTGTGTGGTGCATGCTGATATGTTTAATTAAATGTGTTAGAAATCCTTTACACTTTAAGCCAATATTTTGTATCCAATTCATATCGTGTTGTCTTGTTGTGTCAACTTTTACCAGCCCTAAATTTTATTAATAGCCTTTTATCACCAAAGTGTACAAAATCATCCATTCACTGTTGGCTGCTGCCATAAGTCCATAACCCTAAAGACTTTATGTGAATATTTTTGGAGGACATTCAAAATTCGAATACCATTAGCAACATTTGAGCACCACCGAAGCATAAACCCTATCTCCTAACTCTTCTCTCTCTGTCTTCCTCACACATAACGACTGTCATACTCCTTCAAATAAGTACTTTACTCTCTTTTTTTCTCACTTTATTTTTTACCTAATCCAAAAATGTTGAAGAAAAGCAAAAGTAAGCTTAACTCACTAACCATAAACCCCTTAAGTTTTCAGGATTGTTAATAAAAATTCTTATTTTTTCAAGGTTGTTGATAAAAATTCTAGCTTTGATTTGATTTTTATTATAGAGAGTAAAAAGTATAAGATTAAAAAGAAAGTGAAAGAGCATCGCAAGAAGAAATCTAAGGAAGAAAAAAAAACTTGGAAATAATAAGAAGAATAAGATTGAAAAGGAACCTGGTGTTCTTAATGAATGACCTTTTAAGGAGCAAGAGTTCAAGGCTCTTGAGGTTCGCCGTGCTAAGGTGAATAGAAAAATGGAAACTAATAATCTCACCTTTGGGTTTTCTACTCAAAACAATCTCACCTTTGCGAAATTCCAAAACAATCCCACCTTTAACCCCAATCTACTCAAAATGAGCCTTTTAACCTATAACCTGTTTAATAGGTTAATTTTTTTTTTTTTTTTTTTTTACATTTTTCTTTCCATCTCTCATCTCCACCTTAGTACACCACCATTACCATAACCACCACCACCCTTCCATAAGCACCACCACATCACCACCTTAACTCCACCCACCACCTTCATTCTCTCTCCTAACTTCGACCACCCCACCACAGGTAATAACCGCAACCCCAGCAACCAGACCACCCGCATCCACCCACAAAACCCTCGGCCCTAATAGTAACCACCCTGAAACCGCGACCACCCTAGCTAACCTAAAACTCGATCACCTTGAAACCCGCCCCATTTTTCTTCTTCGATTCAAAGAGGTTGGCTGCTGGCTGCTCCAACTTGGGCTTTGATCCTTTGCTTGGCTGCTTCAAAAACCATCATCAATCTTCATAATTGAATTGAATTTGCAACTCAAAAAATTCATAATACTGCTTCTTCTTCAAATCGGGTTTTCGGGTTAGAATTTGGGTTTAAGCTGGGTCGCCGGCGATATTGGGGTAAGGGGAAAGTCGATCTGATGCCGGCGGTGGGAGAGTACTACTAGAAAACAGGAAAATAACGACGGACACGTTTCGACGGACACATAAATCCATCGGAAACGTCGAAATTTCCGACAGATTTTTATTCCGTCGAAAATTCGTCTGAAATTTCCGACGGAATTAAAATCCGTCGAAAAATATGTGCTTTATGACGGAAAATCCGTCGGAAATTACCTTTCCCGACGGAATACATTTTAAAAAAAAAAGAAAAAAAAACATATTTATAGAAACCCTAAAAGCCTACCCGCCGCTTCTCTCTCTTTCCCTTTCTCCATTTCTTTGTCTTTCCTCTTCTCTCTTCTCTATCCTCTCCCCTATCCTTCTCTCTCCTCTCCTGCTTCTCCTCTGTCGTTCTTCTTGTCTTCCTCTCTTCTCTTTCATCTTCTCTTTCTTTCATTTTCTTTCCCCTCTTCCAACCACCTCATATCTCCCACCAAAACCTCGACATCAACAACAATCCCACCACCGCCAACATCGACAACAATAACAACCCCAACACCAACAACTTTTACATCAACAACTACCCCACCACCGCCAACATCGACATCAACAACAATCCCAACACCGACGAAATCAACAATAATTTCGATCTGATCGAGTTTCGCCCTTTCTCTCTCTTCTTATGATGAAAACAAAGGTTTTCAGGTCAAATTCGACCATGAAAACTCTAGATTTAGAGTTTTCATGGTCGAATTTTGCCTCCTAAACCCAATTTCAAGGTTTTATGTGGTCGAATTGAGGTATTATATCTTTTTTTTAATGTTGCTTTATCTGTTTTTTTTAATTACATGGTTGTGTTGGGTGGTGGGTGCTGGAGTTCGGGTTTTGGGGTTAAGGTTGATATTTTAATTGTTTCTTTTTTTTTTTATTTTCGGGTTGTGATTGTTTTTTATTGTTGGCGGTGGTGGTTTTTGGTGGGTGGTGGGGTGGTTAGGGGATGGATCTGGTTAGGTTAGGTGTGTAGGGGTTCTAGTGGAGGTTTTGGTGGTTGGGTAGTGGGTGGTGGTGTGGGTAAGGGGAACTTGTGTGGGCTGGTGTTTGGGTTAGGGGGGCTGGTGGTGCGGTGGTGGGCAGGCTTTTTTTTTTTTTTTTAACAAATTTCCGACGGAATTTTCGTCGAAAATTTCCGGCGAATTAAAGTCTGTCGGAAATTCCCAGCCCTAGAAATATCTTCCGACGGACTGAATTCCGTCGGAATTTCCGTCCGAATAGTGTTTCCGACGGAAATTTCGTCGGAAAAAGATGTTTTTCCTACGAATTATATTGTGACAACCCGTTTCGACGGAATTTCCGTCGAGAACTCTGTTTCTGACGGAAAACAGGGTGTTTCTGACGGAATTTTTCCATCGTTACTTGGCTGTTTTCTTGTAGTGGAGGGTGGGGTGGGTTATGATTTTAAAGATGGTGGGGAATAGGGATCGTCGGAGATGGCAGAAAGGAGGAAAGGGGACTTAAGACGCCGGAAGAGGAGAGAGTTGGGGCAACGCTAGAAGGGGAGGGAGGTGTGTCGGCTGGGAACAAATTCAGTCGCCGGCGGTGTGTGGAGATGGATTGTTGGTATGCCGCATCGGTGGTGGGCTGGATTTCATTGATTTTTTTTCCAAATTTTGTTTGTTTGTTTGTTTTTGTTTTTTAATTTTCTGATATTCTTTTAAAAGCAAAAAAATAAAGGAAACCAATAAGAAGGTGACATGTGTCAAGTCACCTTTTTAAATAGGTTACTAATTTATCAAACCGGTAAAAGGCTCATTTTGAGCAGATAAGGGTCAAAGGTGGATTGTTTTGGGTTTTCAAAAAATGGGATTGTTTTGAGCAGAAAACCTAAAGGTGGGATTAATAGTTTCCATTTATCCTAGAAGAATTGAAGCAGAAGAGAGCTGCCCGTAAAGAAAGGGTATGTGATTTTCATTTGTTTTATCATAGTAATTTCTAAGCTTTTCATTGTAATTATTGGTAATTATGGTGTATTGTATTTTATAAACAGAATAATTATGGCGTATTAAATTTTATCAACAAAATAATTATGGTATATTGTAATGTTGTTTAATGTTACATAATGTAATTATATGTGTTATGTAAAGTTACTTGATAATTGGACCCGGTGATGACAATTGGACATTTACATTTAAGAAACAAATTTGTGCAAAACTGTATATTATATGGCCAAACCTCAACTCATCAACATAGTTATGCATTGATTTGAAG